TATTGTAGCAATGCCAGGCGGACCACAGTTCATTTTTTTCCCTTTGTGTTGCTGAAAAAATGTCTACTTCTATTCTGTTGGAGTTTGATTTAATACATCGCAATGCAGACATGAATGAATCTGTTTTGGTTTATAAATTTCAAAACTGAAACTTCAGCATGGTTGGCCAGTGTTTGCAAATACTTTTGATTCCATGAAGTCAAATGGAAAATTGGCATTCACAAGACCAACACTAAACGTGATCCGAGTTCATGTTTTCATTGCTACATCTCGCCGGGCTGTAGCTGTTGGTGACAGCGTTTGTGCAGCAGTCTCCAGAATAGTTACAAATCAGCAACAAAAGAATGTGTACAGCTTAGAATACGATTTTCTTGGTCTTGAACACAAAATAGATTATTTTCAAAACCTGAGTGTGCAAAATGCAGCCACGGGGCTTGTTGGTCACTTGGTGGCAAACACACAGAATTCAGTGAGACTGTGACTAAAAATGGGTCTATTTTTTCACAAGTTTTACTCACTTGTTACTCTGAAACAGTCACAACCCAGTGAGATACCACCTGTAATGGGGCCTTTGAAGCAACAACGGAACATAATCATCACAGTCATTCCCACACTTTAAAAAAAACTCCCAAACAAGAAGAAAGCGGGTAAGGCAACTCTAACAGGTGATGCATGATGGATATACTTTTCAACAAAATCCATCCATCCATTATCTATACCTGTTTTTTTCCTTTTCTAGGGTCACTGGTGCCCATATCCAGCAGTCACAGTGCGAGGGGTGGGGTACTCCCTGGACAGGTCACAAGTCCATCACAGGGACACACATAGGGACAAACAACGATCAACCATTCATTCTCACACTCACACCTAGGGACAATTTAGAGTTATCAATTAACCCAACAGTCATGTTTTTGGTGTGTTGGAGGAAGCCGGAGTGCCCGGAGAGAACCCATGCAATCACAGAGAGAACATGCAAACTCTACCCAGAAAGGTTCCCGGGCCGGGATTTGAACTGGCAACCTTCTTGCAGAGATGCATCAGCTCTGAGCCACCGTGCCGTTTTCAACAAAATCATTACTTTAACATTTTTGATTTTTTTTGGTTTATTTTATTCTCATAATTGTGTTCAAATGAAAACTGTTTGCAGTGTAGAAGCATTGGGCCTCATGCAAGAACCGTTCGTACGCACAGATTTGTTCTTAAATTGTGCGTACGAGTGATTTAGGAGAATTTGTGGCATTCACCAATGTTTTCGTATTCTACGATTTTTTTCAGATACGAACAAAATTTACGAGTAGTCCAGACCTGTCGTATATTTTACGAGCAGTCGGTCTGCTGTTATCCAGACGGGTTTTCTTCATTAATAACTTTATTTCGTTAGTTTGAAGATATTTTGAGTTGAAAATAAATCACACTCCATAATTATGTTGACAATAGGCTATTCTGCTTGAATTAGAGTTATAATTTTAAATGTAATAATTTAGACTAACTATAAATTGTCCGTCCGGCCGGCTTCTCTGCTATTGGGTGCAGGGGGGAGGGGGGGGGCAGCAGGAGAAAGACCCCGCGCGCTCCGCAGCGACACTTTCCAGCTCGTCCTGGGGGACTCCGAGACGTTCCCAGACCAGAGGGGGTACATGATCCCTCCAGCGAGTCCTGGGTTTTCTTCAAAGTGCCAGACTTATTTTGAAAACATTTTAAAATGCTTATTTCAAACCCGCATCCGAGACCACCGCAGCGTGGGGGGGGGGGGKGCACGGKGCGCAGCGCTGCGGCTTCTGAATAAATGAAAATGATTTAACACAGTTGTTTATACTTTTAGCAGCTCTTTTTATCCCACAGCTGAGCTGCTAAACATGTCAGATTTTCTTTTCTTGATCTCTGACAGATGGACTTCAATCTCTGAACGCGTAAAGTTTTTTTTTTTTTTTTTTCAGTTTTCGCTGTAATTTTCATGAATGAATGAACACTTCCTTGTATCTGAGGCATAGCCTTATATGGTGTTTTTGGGGTGGTAATTATGCTAATCTCCTCTTGCGTGCACGAGCAGCTGGATAGAAAAGGTGTAAATTACGCAGCTCATTTACGCACGTTTCCTGAAGATAGAAGTGTTTGTTGAATCTGACGTGACATGTTCGTACGAACCCTTTGTACGAACAAAAGTAAGAGAAATTTAGGATAAGAATACGAACATGTTTTTGCATGAGGCCCATTGTTTTTTTTTTTTTTTTTTTTTTGATAAATTAAGTTCAAGATTTTCTTTGATTGGGAATGTCTCTCAATGAAATTGCAGCTTTCTGAATTGTAATCAAATCGCAACATGCCTAAAGGTTCCCACCTGTTGTGCTTCTATGCAGGGTTTTATGGAAATAGAACGTTACAATCACAACTGCGCAATTGTTTTTGTGTGGTTGCAACTGAGTGGCAAACCTGGTTTGATACAAATTTAGTAAAAAGTCTGAACTCAGTGAAGTATTTACTTAATACAACATGTGTGTTGAATGTACAGCTATGTCATCTGTCATAATGAGGTTCTTAGCATGAATTTGAAGTTGAAACGCAAGTGAGATATTGTGATATGCCACATTTTCCCATCAGCGTTGGATGGAGGATTTCAGAGTGAAACTGAGGGAGGACAAAAGCAGCATCTCTTGCTGTGTGATGGAACACAGCAGCAGGTGGCTTACCACACGTTGTACTGGAAGCCTGGAGCACCATGGCAACAGGGAGAGAAGAGCACTGAGGGAAGTGGGGGTTCAAGGACTTTCACTTGTTTCAGCTGCATTTTAATTACTTTGGGCACCGGTATTTAGTGAAACAGATCGAACCAGGAGCTTCAGCCACAACTTGGAGAAACCCCCAGAGTTGTAGAACTTGGTTCTCCTTACTGGTATAGTGTTCTTAAAAATGACTGCAACAGCTTGGAATATTTTGAGATAAGAGGAAACTGATAATGGGAGGAGAAGGGAGAAGGAAAAGAGGCTGGAGAGAAGAAGTAAGATGGACAAGTGAGAGAGGAGACAAGGCAAAGTGAGCACAGATAGAAATCGACAGCGTTGGAGATACATGCTGTTTGAAGAAGCAGGTTTGCAAGAGAGATGAGCAGACAGGGCCAAGGGAAAGGGGATGGGGGGGGGGGGATTTGTAGGGATATAAAAACCCCTTCGATATTACCTTTTTTTAAAGATGCATTTCAGAGTTGATTTGAGAAAGCCTAAATGCACAACACACATGCGGGATTCTACTGAACACATTCTCCTTTTAGAATGCATGTCTGACATGATCAGAACTCATTAGAAGCTCTCCAAAGCCTTTTACAACACAGACAGAAACCTTCTCCAAGAAAACAAACAAACCCAAGAGTCCAGTACACACACACACACACACACACACACACACACACACACACACACACACNCACACACACACACACACACACACACACACACACACACACACACACACGCATGCACGCACGCACGCACGCACACACAACTTCTTGGCTCTTTCTTCAGTAAAAAACAAGCTGGCATCCACTTGAAACCCTGGCAACATTAGTCATATAAAACTTATCTCTATCCACTTAAAGTATTATAAAGCTAATAATGAATTTTCCATAAAGTCATTTCAAATTAAATTGAAAAAAAAAAGGCTGTTTCACAGTGGAGGGCACAGCTAAACAAAAATTAGCTTCACTAACCACTAATCCGCTAAACTAGAATCTTAACTCTGCTAACGTTTGTCACTGCCCAATGTGTCCCAATTATAATATTGTCTAGGAAAATACTGTAGGTCCGTTTATAGCAAGTAATATTTTAATTAATATAAATAAATATGTACGCTTCATAAACCAATATTTTAGTAATAACATTTATTTTATATGTTCAACAACATTTAAATGATATAATTTAACACCTTTTTAGTTAGGGTTGGAAATAATTATTTCTAGTATTTATATTTAATAAATGAAGTGCAGAGCCTGCAGCGTAGCGGAGCAGGGAAAGGAGGACGTGGAGAGGTGGGGAACTTATTTCCATAAGCAAAGTAGGTCTGAGACGGGTATCTCTTTTTTATTTATTTATTTATTTATTTATTTATTTATTTAAAGTTGCTTTATAGTCGCTACAACTGACACCATCTTGTAATATGATTAAAATGAAGCTGTAGCAAATTGGATGAATCCAATCATCTCTGACTCAGACATGTGTCTTTCTTAGAGCTGGAGGTGAACTATTTCGATCCCAGGGGATATGTTCGTGGAGGAGAGCCACTCACAACTGTCCCTTTGTGATGGATTTTTTCATACAAACATGCAATTGGGCTGCGTTGCTGATGGATAGCAGCCATTGTTATGGTGAGGTCATTCTATTGCCTTCCCAAGCTCCTCTATTTATCTCAGTCAAGTCAACGGTGCCATTGTGCAGAATTACCCAACACACTTTACCACCTTGATGTTAACAGACAGGGGATTGTCAAACCATTCAGACTTTACTCACGTAGGAAATTAAATGAAATGTTTTCTGATTTCACTGGTTATTGGTAACAATTCAAAACCAGTGCAATTGCTTTGTAATCCATTTAAAATTGTACAGATAACCACTTGCAAGCACAGGTTGAAGGTAATCAGTGGACTTTCTTGAGTGACAGTGTGGTAAACAATGTTAGTCATGGACTGACAGAAGGAAACCATCCAAAGAACTGACAAAAATAAAGGTCTTAAGAAAAAAAAACAAAGAATGACTGAGATGCAAAAAGCATCTTCGGATGCACAAATCTGAGTTTGTCACACGTTGCTTCTTTATGTGACTCCATTTTTCTTTCAGCCTCTATTGGTCTCATTTTCTTCCAGCTTTTGTTTCCCATTTTTTGTTCTCAATCTCTCAGTCCCTGTCTGTCAATTTGTGAAGGCCCCACATTATTACTGTCAAAAATCACACTGCAGCGCCACTACAAAAGATCCACACACAATATCACATTCACTGGCACACACTCGTACTTACCGCCCACTCAGGTGTTGAAAGAGAGTGACTTCCTCCTCCGACACTCAGCGGCAAGCTTCTCCCAGAGGAATCCTGAATACGACAAGACAAGCAAAGTGAACTCAAAAGAACTGGAGTCTTTGATTTTTCTGTCACACTTTTAGCCCCCTGGTCCTCATAAAACTTTGTTTGTCTCCAACTGATTGCGGCAGTGTCTTCTTGCTCTTTGCTGCATTTGTCTTTAAACATGCGTCTGCAGATAAAATTTGTGCATCTTTATGGCAATATTGTGCGATTAATACACACTCAGGGTGATTAATTTCATTAAGAAAACACTGGTGTAAAAGACAATGATATAATTAAATCAAGTTAAAGAGAAAAAATGATTAAAAGAGAATATTCTATCATATTTAAGTGCAAATTTGATGAGACACTAAAACCAAAAGCTTTCGAGTTCAAGAGTCAGGTGATTAAAATAGTCATCAAATCTCACACTTCATTCTCAAGCCACCGGAAACTGAGGGAGAGCTCTGATTATCATCAATGACACTCCACCCCGACCATCTGATTCCACGTAAGAGGCTCTTAAGGCCAAACAGGCTCCCCTGGTAAAACTGGTGTCAAGTAAATTAATAGATTTTTTTTTATCTATAGGAGGGGCACAGGATAATTGTGAACTTATTAAAGTCCAAAAGGTGAACAGTAAAACCATCTTATAATCAGATTAGACTCTACAAGTGATGCCCCAAATGAGATCTCTAGTTCCAAATAGTAATTATATTAACTTAGAGCGAAAAGAAAGATTTACAAGCGCTGACAACCTTTGGTCTTATTCTTGTAATGTCTTGCTTTAAAATGTGCATCATGGACATTCCATTTTTTATACAGCAGCTAATAGTTCACAAACTGTGAAGAGGTTCTGTAATCTATTAATAAGGAAATAAAAACATGGAATGACTGAAAATAAGTTCAATGACGCGACTGTCGGCTCTGTGGCTCTGGCTGAGTCGTGAGTAAAGACGGTATGTTTGATAGAAGTGGACAGTTTAATTTGAATCTTGTTACAACATAGCAGTACTGTCTGTTGTGCTTTAATTTAAAATAAAAAAATGCTGAAAAATGCTGCTGGGAGTTTTTGTAAATACCAACAGCAATGTGTATGATTATGCAAAACACCTTGTCCCAGCAAAGTCATAAAGTACATCCACTACAGTGCAATGAGGCTGATATTTCAGGCCATGTACATTTAAACATGTTGACATATGTATGGTTTTATAAAAGAAAAAGAAGAAAAAGAGCAAAGATGGTGCTCAGCTTTCTGAAATTGTAACTATTTACACATTTTGTGATGTTCAAATATTTAAAAAGTAAGTAGGTTAGAAAGAGGGGAATTGGGTTGGAGGAAGACAGGTTGATTAGTAAAGAAAATAACGAAGGAGTTCATTAAGCTGGGGGAGTTCAGGGAATAGCCAACCCAAGCAAAGGGATGATCATGAGAACACTAAGAAAAAAAATGATGAATGGACACTTGGGGATGAAAACGAGAGAGAACAGGGAAAGAGGGGAATTGAAGGATGTTTTGAAATGTGAAAATACGCTTAGAGCGCTCTTATTGCAATCCATTCTCTCCACATAAACCTGTCTTGATGTCTGAATACTTCACAGAGCAGAGGATGAAATTTTACTCATTCATGCTCATTTGGATGTGGCAGCTGAAAGTTGGTTGTTTTGCCTTTTTTTTTTTTACACTCGAGCTTTATTCACACTTTGCTAAGTCTTTTCTGTCTTTTTAACAGCTTCCTTCTGTGTCACAACGAGTCTCAAAGGGCAGCTTCAACTACACAAATTATCATCTGACAGAAGCAGCCTAGTGCAACAAGGGTGGATTTTTACTGAAGGAAATACAGAAATTTGCTGTTTAGGCACAAAATATTTGGAATAAAACAAGTTAATTTGGCAAATTGAAGACTTATGGTGGTAAAAGGAAAGGGTTATTTATTAAAAACAAAGAATAATTATTTAGTGGAGTTATTATTATTAATGCTTTTTTCATTTCATCCTTTTCTGCTTCACTGGAATCTAATATTTTAGTTTTTAAAATTCCAGTCAACATTATGCCTTTTCCATGTGTAGAAACTGACACATAAAGATGCACACTCTAGAACTATGTTGGTGAAGGTGTAACTCTTATATAAATGTTTAAAACATTAATTTGAAATGCTTTACTGATGGTGCTTTTACTTTTTAAACAAAAGCCTCAAGGTTTTATTCATTTAACAGTGTATGTTTGTAGAACAATTTATCCCAAAGCAATAAACTTTAAAACAACACGGTGGGAGAAATTTTCGAGTTCCCCAAGACATCTTTTATAGCAAACAATCTCCAAGCTGTGGAAGCCACTGATCCAAATGACACTACTTTTTTTTTCACTGCCATAAAGCAGAGAAATCACATAAAACCTCTATAAACCCAAACTGTAAGTTAGATACAGATAAATAGTAAACCAACATTATGCATTTTTTAAAGTTTTCAAGCCAGCATTTGCAAAATTGTTTTTTTTTCCTATTGTGTATTAAATGCCCTTATTACAGATGATGGTGAGAGACAGTCATTGTTTACCAGTCAAAGTTCTGATAGACTGACCCCAGGAAACATGTAAAAAGCCATATTGCTCATAAGCTGTGTGCGTATAGGGATGTGCATTCAAAAATAGGCACAAATCAAAAACTGCTGTGAATGAACGCTTGTGCAAATGGGTTAATCTTCTGTAAAGTCCTTTGAATGGCCAATGAAGCTGGAAAAGTGGAATATAAATGGATTCCATTTACCAGTAAGAAATGAAAATGGTAAAGTGCAGAATATCTGGATGAGATAATAAATGCAACGGTATTTTTTTTCTGAAGTAGTATATACCAGAAGCAATGAATGAGTAAAAAAAAAGTCTTCACAGCCTGTAAGATGTATTTTGTCATGGCTGGGATGGTGAATAAAGACAGTCTTGAAAAGTAAGAAATCAGTGAAAGACTCAGCATTCCATTTCATCTTATTTAATGAAATACACATATTCTTTATTTCTACTTTATTTAGTCACTTTGCCATTTTTAAATACATAAACTTAATTTTTATTTTCAAATAATAAAAGGTGGCTTCGTCTTTGAAAGACTGAAAAAGCAGCAGTAGATACTGGAAAATTAATTAAAAGTGAAGGAAAACCCAGGTAAAAGAACTGTTGTTGTTATTTACCAAAGGGTTTTTTCATTTGATGTTGCAGAAGAAAGATAGTTTTGGGAAAATACATTTTTAACAAAAAAATAAATAAAAAGTGAATAAATCAGGGTAATTTAACCAAAATTGCACAGGGAGCCACAGTTGTTCAAAGCCAGCAGCTCATGGGCTAGACATACCTAATAATGAGAAAACATTGCATTGTATAAAACAAGTATAAAAAACTTTTACCTTTTAAATTTGTTTATTTTGTTGCACTGAATCATAAATTTTAAATTTACAATAAATTTAAAATCCTTTTTTTGTTTTAAATTGATTTTTTCCCCTACTGGCAGGGCCGGAGAAGTCACCCGCTAGCCAAATGTGGCCTGCGGGCCACCAGTTGAGTATCCCTTGTAAAAATGTTTAGTAAAAACTACTAGCATTGATCTAGAAAAAGTGATAAAATCCAGTAAATATCAACCAAAAATATATTTGCTCAACAGTTTTTTTCACAACAAACTTTACAATTTCACTCTCAACTTATTCCTGCTGTGTACATAGAAAAAAACATTTTTTCAACATAAATAAATAAGAAAAGATACTCAGTAGTCTTTCTGCAGTTATGAGAATCTGAATCCAACCATCTGCAAATTAAACACTGAATAAACAACTAAAATCACTGCTAAGTCAAGCACTGGTGGAACAATAATTTGGTAAGAATCATACTATTGTGCAGAAATAAACACTGAGCCCGACTGTGTGTATGAGTAAGTACTTTTGACCTTTTCTTGTTTTTAACATTTCATTTCATATGTTTTTTTTATTTGCTGTCATAATTCAGCAAAGTTTTAACTCATCATCAGCGGCTCGAGGCCTTTGATGAGTGCATCAAAGGCTGTTGGCCATGAATGCATTCAAAGCATCTCTGAAGTGAATCCAGCATGAAGTTAAACTGAGAGAAAGACAGAGAGACTGGGAAACTAAACAGGATTTCTCAAAGCATAGGACAGTGAGATTGCCCTTGCAGTAGCACTACCTTATCAATTTGATTAGAGTGTGAAAAGACACTTAAGCTCTCAATTGCAAGCACATTAGTAGTCTACTCAGCCCCCTGCTTCAGAATCCAATGGCTAATGTTTGAGGTAGAGGGGTGGGGGGGGGAGTCTAAAAAGGGTATTTGATTTCACTTAGATATGTCTCTGCATGTGAAATTAAATAGTGATTAGATAATGTGTGTGTTAAATATCAGAAGGCCCTGCTTCATTTGGAAAATTGATTTGCATTTAAAATGTGCATGCCTGGGCTGAAACGCATCAACCAACCCTGCAAAATATCCCAAATTCTAAGACGTATATTAGATGGCGAGCAGAGATAAAGAAATAATGATGGAAATCATAATGTGGCACTAATACCTTTAAAAGCCATGAAAAATGGGTTTTGAGTCCAAGCTATATTTGCTTTTAGGTAAAGAATTCAGCAGCAGGAAAAATCTGAATATTTATAATCAGAAACAGCCAAGATTTCTCATTAGGCTTTCTTTTTGTCAAGCTTTAAGGATGGGAAGAAAAATAAGAAGATGGCCAGAGATTGATGTTGATTGGCCTAACTGGATAACAGAGGCACAAAGACGCAATAAAAAAAAAGACTATTGTGTTTCTTTTCTTTCTTTGACAGAGACAGCTACTGTAGAAAATCAAAGATTAAATGCTCATAGACCTCATATTCTGCCACATACGTATGAACCATAAAAAAAATCGATCTCTTTTGTGGACTGGAGAGATTCAATGCAACCTTTGATATACAAAACAAATCAAGACAAAAATTTGTGTTTATGATGTGTACAGACGGAAGCGTCGTCTCCAGACTCTCGAGCTGCAAACTGCGGCGCCTCTACATTCTGTAACTCATTCATCCGCAGAGAATCATCCCGAGTCAAAACCTCATTAAACTCCTACCTCTTCGGCATGAATAAGGGACTGTCTAAAGTCAGAAAAGAGGCAATTGGATTTGATCTGTCACTTTCCTATAAATGCGTTCATTCGAGGCCTGTGGATTGCTTCAGCTGCGGTGCTCATCACATTCAATTCTTTAGCCCTGGATCCAATTTTCAGAAAACTTATTGGCGAACCAAAATAGCAATGGGGGACGTTTTACTGAATCTCTTGGTTAGAAGGTAAAGGCAGGCCCGTGACGAAGTATTATGCTAAAAGATGGGGGTAACTGTTCTCAGATCACCACCAAAACAAGACCAACTTCTCTTCTTTTTTCTTTCTGTCTCTAGCACATCGTGTCGGCCTCTAATTTCACTTGCTCGACTCCATTTTCCCTCTTTTCATTACCTCCACCTTCTACATCAGTAACCTGCCTCTCAATTCTCAGTTTCAGCTCATCAAGCTCAAATTCTGTATCCTCATCAAGGTAAAGCTGATTGAGATGGGATGCAAGCCGCTGCTCGGGGGCTGGGAAACAAACATTCCTACACATATACCCTGCACACACACACACACACACACACACACACACACACACGCCTACGAAGCTGACAGAAGCTTACA